AATGAAGATTATTAAAAACATTTTTTTAAAATAACTAGAACGATAAAATTAATTGAAAATAAAACAATCTAGCAACTCTTATAATTAGAACTTTATGTTAACTGGGCCAACACCGTCGCCATATTGATTTTTTAGAATCATTTGCCTATATAAAAATAAGTTGCAACACTACAAATAAACTAAAGCTAAACAAATTAAAAAAAATCCCTATGAGGTTATTTTTACCATCAGGCAACAATGATGGCACTTTATTAACCGTCGCCATGATGTGGTTTCAGAAATGGACCTGTGTCTACTTATTGCATTTTTTTAATATTATTAAATTTATAATTAACTAGTGGTGCATGGCATCGCGCCTTAAAGCAAATTGCTAGAACTTCCTGTAGCACAAATTCATATTCCCAAATAGATTCAAAATTTTGTTAAAACTGAAAAAAAAATGAAAATTTTGAAAATTTTTGAAAAAAATTGACTTTAAATTTTTTTGTGTTTTGAAATATTTTGGACATTTTGAACTGTTTTTTCAAAGTGCGATTTGAACTGCTTTAGCTACGTAAAGATGATATATCGAAGCGCGTAAGCGCCGCGTCGCAATATAAAGAATAAAACAATCATTAAAATCTCTATAAAATATCTGATAATTTGATGTACATTGTCTAATAATTATTTTTTGACCGCCAAATGGCATTCCTTTTTACTTTTTTCACTAGATCTCCGAAACCGCTAGACCAGCCTTCCCAAAAATATAATCAGTTCTTCATTTTGTCAATACAAGTAAAAAGTTTTTTGAATTATTGAAATCGGACGCTCCGTTCTTTTAAAAGTGAATTTCGATTTTTGGGTGAGTTTGGGTGATCTTCGAGGCGGCTTTTATACTTATCTAAATAGTTCTTATTTTATCTCTTACTGTGCTCATCTTGGTCAGTTTGGAAAATACTTTTCGGCATTCATTTTTTTCTAATGAGTTAGTAGTGTTCTGGCGGTGTTCGATGGCAAGTGAGTTGGATGATTCTCGAGACAGCTTTGTACTTGTCTGAATTAGTCCTTATTTTATCTTTTACTATGGTGATCTTTCTAAATTAATCAATTTGGAAAACACATTTGATAATTAATTTTTTTTTAATAATTTAGTAGTATTCTGTCGGATTTCGATGGCAAGTGAGTTTGGATGATCCTTGAGGCAGCTTTTGTACTTGTCTGAGAGAGTCATTATTTTACGATTTTTAATTTTCAAAATTGGTCTGGGATTTTTTGCAAAAAACTTGCACTTTTCTGCTAATTTAAAGAAACGGCTCGTTCGTGTATCACAAACCTATGCTGATCTTTCTGAATTAACCATATTGGGCATACAAATTTTTTAAATAATTTAGTAGTGTTCTGGCGAAGGTATGTGGCAAATTAGTTTGGGTGATCCTCGAGGCAGCCTTTTGTACTTACCTGAATCAGATCTTATTTTGTCTTCTACTGTCCTGATCTTTTTGAATTACCTAATTTGCAAAACACTTTTAGGTCATTCAATTTTCCACAGTAGTGTTTATAGCGGAGTTTTATGAGAAATGAGTTTGGGTGATCCTCGAAGCAGTTTTTTTAATTATCTGAATGAGAACTTATTTCATAATTTTACTGATGTCGGCGCCTTTAGCATCAACCAATTTGAAAAAACTGTTTTGACATTCATTTTTTTAATTTAAAAATTCAAGGTAGTAAAAAATTCAAAGATTAAAGATAGTAGTGTACTATTATGAAGTTAAATAAATAAATTGACATT